TCGCCAGCGTAGTGATAGTTGTCGACGGAGCGAGTGTCGATGTTGTGTCCGTAGAAGTAGCTAGTGATTGATGGCGAGTTGAGAAAATCTTCGTCATGTGGCGGCGACTCGAGCAGAGGGATCGGCAACTCCCAATCTTGTTCGTGTTCGTCGGAGACGGATTCCCCATCCTGCGTAAATGGGTTGTTGTAGCCGTTGAATTGAAATTCGTCTCCTGGCGGTGGAGGAGAGACATAGCGCAGATGTCGCCGATTTGTGCGACGGGTGCGGCGGGGAATGCGCATCGCCATGTTGCCCATGACGTGGCGGGTGTTGTTGTTGTTCTGTGGTGCGCGCTAAATGTCAGATTGTGGCTGCTAGCGCGGGGCAGACCAATGGTCCGAAGACGGTCGGTTTGCCTGGCGCATATGATTGGGACCGTAGGCAGAGTTGTTGCGCGGCGCGGAATCGTGTCGTGGTCCGGATCGGCAGCGTTCAGTAGAGTGGCCGAAGGCTTTGCAGTTTTTGCAGTAGTATTGTCGTGGCCGTGTGTCGCGATTCCTTCGTTGGTCACGATTAGAATAAAAGGCGATTTGTTCGCGGTGCGCCCCTTTTTCTTGGTTGAAATCCGTGTCTCGCTGCTCATGCAAAAGAGTAGCACAGAGGTGCGCCTCTGAGATTATGCCCTGTTGGCGAAGCAGAGCCTTGCAGGGATTCCAGTGCGGTCCAAGCCCTCGAAGCACGATGGTGACAAACATGTCTTCGGAGATTGTGTTTCCGAGCTTCAAGAGTTGGTCGCGGACGCTTCGGCAGCGGTTGATGTAAGAGTTTGCTTTCTCGCCAGGTGCCATCTTGACTTCCATGAGTTGCTGGAGTAAGCAGCTGTAAGACACGGAGTCTTTGGGCTGGTAAGTTTTATTGAGATAACTCCAGTCGGCCATGGCGGGAGCTTGATGAGTTTCATAGGGGCGAATGCCGAGCTGTTCAGTAGGTGCCATGTTGCGTAGAAGGACGCTATACATTATGAGTGACTCGTTCTAATACTGAGCCTTAGCGTCGTCAGTGTCGGTGGTGGGGCCAGCGTAGCTTCCGTCAAAGTAGCAAAGGATTTGCGCGTTTTGGAGAAGTAACTCGAGCTCAAAACTCCAAGTGTAAAAATCACGTCCGCTAAACACGGTGCTGGTACGTATCTTGGAGATGGTCAGAAACTTGTTATGAGCTGCGAGTACGACTTCATCACTTAGACGTGGAGCGGTTGGAGCATAAGAGTTTGACCCGGTGTCGAAGGTGGTTGGATTCGGTTCCTTTTTTTGGACGGCCGGTTGATCGGGTTGCTGCGCGGTTTCAGGATTGTTGTTCTTCAATTGTTGAATTCCAGACTCCAGCGTTGTGATCCGCTGGATGAGTTGCTCCAGTAGCGCGTTGCTGACGGTGGTAGTTCTCGCAGAGATCGTGGTAGGGTTGGCGGGGGCCTCCGCACTATTTGTTGTTTGTCCGCCAGATCCTCCAGCCATATTTCGGCGGGAGCGCGTACCGAACGCCACCTTGATTTTGAATTTGAATCAGAGGTGGTGGTGCGAAGAATCCTGAGTGGCTCTCATACCATAATACAATCTGAACCGTCTTATAGGATCGTCTCAGGTTGATCGCACGGAGTGTAGCAGCAGAAGATTGCTTGGTAATGTCTGGTACGGACTTTGTCAGTAGAAGGAGATTTGAATCTCGACAGATTTGACTAACACAGTGCGGTACAGGGGTTTATATAGGAATACAGTGGAATACGAAAGGTCCTAGCTAGCCATGTACTCTGAGGGGGTACATTCCAGGATTGCAACCGTGTTGTTCGGTAACCGTATGCGGTCCGGCAACCGTTTGAAGTTTTCCCGCACTTTGCACTTTGAATTCTTACTGCCTGTAACTGTCTCGATAACTGTATCGTCGCTTGGTCTTTCATCCTCGCTGCAGTCATCTTCGGCGAGCAGGGCAGCGCGGGGCAGGGCAGGGCACGGCCACGGCGAGCAAGGCAGCATGGGCAGCAGGGCAGGGCACGCCCGCGGCGAGCAGGGCAGCGCGCGGCGAGCAGGGAAGCGCGGGCAGCAGCGCATCAAGCGCGGCAGCAGGGCAGCGCGCGGTAGGGCAGGGCAGGGCAGGGCAGGGCAGCGCGAAAACGCTGGGCAGGGCAGGGCACGCACGTGGCGAGCAGGGCAGCGCGTGCGGGGCAGCGCGTGCGGGGCAGCGCGTGCGGTGCAGCGCGTGCGGAGCAGCGCGTGCGGGGCATGGCAGGGCAAGGCAGCAGCGCGATAGTGTTCTGGGCAGGGCAGAAAACGTCGAGCATGAACGGACCTAATCGGTGGGCCCTAAAAAAAAGGCGGTCCTAGAACGGGACCTGCTTTGAAACCATGTCAGAATACGAAACAGGAATGATTGACTAAGCAGGAAATGTGGTACAATGACTAACGGTAACAAGGGTTGTACCTTATAGGGAGTAACCCACTACAGCCTAACAATTTCTGGTAAAAAAAAACATTTTGGAACATGCTACAAAATCGAATGGACAAGAACATTTCCGTCGAAATCACAAACCCACCTACAACACTGGGAAAGCAATGGAAGTTGTGACCCCCGTAACCGTTTCGCTACCTTCTCACTAACCGGCGACAGTTACTTATGTAGACCAGCGATGCGGTACAAAATATTTTTGCTGACGAACGAGTTGTTCAAAACAGCAGTCGTACGTTCGTCAGTTGGCTAGCCAAGACGCGCAACCGTCTTGACCAGCCTAGGTACAAATTTATCGTAGTCTTGAACAGCTATTGAAGAACTATGTATGGTGCCCTCAGCTATGTTGTTCCAAGTTTTTGTATGGTGTATTAAGGAAAGAATGTAGTACACTGAAGATGAGGTTATAATAAGGGAAAATATGTCAATGGTAACTTACATGGGGCAGTATAACGCGTACGGTAACGATTTCAACGCGTTTGGTAGCTCGCTTAACGCGTTTGGTAAATCGCTTAACACGTTTGGTAACTCGCTTAACGCGTATGGTAAACTTAACACAGGCGAGTGATCACGCGAATGGTAACTACATGAAACTCCCGCAGAAATGATCCTGACAATGAATAATTTATCGAGTTTGAAAGTGTTTACGTCTAGTTTTATCTTTATTGAACAAGTCCCGCCGCGACTTTGAAGGACCCCGTTTGTTCTATTTCCACGGACCGAAAAGTTTCAGAGCCGTTTTATATATCTATAGCTCGTACAAAAACGGTTAAAATCAAAAATTGTATAGCATGATTGCGAACTTGCAAAATGATTAAAAAAACTACTATTTTCCGCGAAAGGGCCTCGGGGCTTTTACTTTACATAATTACTACAACGTTGGCCATTTTTTGCATGTGGAAAAAATACCTCTTTATAATTGCATGTTCCATTGTTTTTAAAAAGAACCATAAACGCCTTGTCGCAAGGAGTTTAGGGTTGATGCTCTCAAATTCATTTGCCATCTGAAAGGGATATTGGTTTGTTTGCCCCGGCTGCCCGATAGAATTATGTACAAACAGTTCGCGGAAAGAGCGCTAAAATATCAGTTATGTATAGAACTTTGTTTTTACAGAACTTACGTTTTTTCAATTAGCCTGAAAATCGGAAAGTGTGTCAGGATTTCGGGAAGTGTGTCAGAATTTCGGAAATCTGTGTCAGAATCTCGGAGAGTGTGTCAGAGGTTTCTGCTTCAAGATTCGTCAATGTAGTCTGACGCGAGCGGGAAAAACCAGAATCAGGGTCATTTTGGGCGAGATTTTCTTCTAGTTACCATTCGCGTGATGAGCTGCTAGTGTATAGTTACCATACGCGTTAAGCGAGTTACCAAACGTGTTAAGCGGGTTACCAAACGCGTTAAGCGAGTTACTAAATGCGTTGAAATCGTTACCGTACGCATTACAGTGCCCCATGTAAGTTACCATTGACATATTTTCCCTTATAAAGCAACAGGTGTAACTACACAGGGTCCTGGTTCAGTCGAGGTTAGCAACAGGCTCGGAAGTCCGAAGGCGACGCGGGCAGCCTCGGATGCGAGGTTTCGACTAGAGCCGAGCCGAGGTTTCCGAGGTTTCGGTTTTTACGCGATGGAGAAAACCTCGTTAGGGAAAACAAACACCCCTGATAGGGTTATGGCTTTCCCGCGCATATCCATGCCGTCATCGCAACGGCTTCTGGGGGCTGCGTTTGCGAATTGGCCTTGAGTTTCGCAAGACAGCCTGCATCACTCACGTTCTGCTGGGCAGCGCGAGGTTAGCGGAATGCGTGGCGAGAACATGTTTTTTTTTTTTTAATTGGTGGCCGAACTGTGACGGGCAGAAGTTACACTCTCGCGAAATTGTCGCCATCGCGGCGACATTCGCGCGGGCAGCATGTCTGGGCGGGCTGACATTTACGAGCAGTCGCGCCGCGCTGAACCCTACGTACTTCCCTCCCTTACCTCTTTTGCCTCGTCCCTCTGGCGTCCTCTCTTTCCAAGCCTGCTTGCCTCCAGTACATATCTCAGACACCAGTTCCCTTTTATTATCACGCTCTGCTCAGCTAGTCTTACAGATCTACTTCCTCGGCTGCTTCTCCTGCCTCGCACACTGATCCAAAGACGTTCAAAGCCTCCTTTCGTGCTCTCGAGTAGTGTTATTCGAAACGCTTACAGCTCCCGTTCTGTAAAACAGTGCGACCTTAGCCAATCGCGGTTTCGCGGACGTGCACTCGCTTGCCATGGACAGCTGGATGGCCAAGCCACCAGCTTATGCCGGTTTCTCGTGCGACTCGCTGGCAAAGTCGACCAGCGAAGGCCAATGCGAAGGCTCCGATCCGAGCAAGCTAGAAGGTAACAGACGAGTACTTGACGACCCGAGCTATAGTGTGAACCCCACGCGAGAAAAATGAGCCTTGGACTTCGACCGCCCTTCGACCGACCTTCGACCGCTCTTTTCCCGCGCTGCACGAGACCCCCTGTCACGCCGTAGACGCGAGAGCGAGTAATGGTTAGCACGCGAGTGCCAAGCGTTTCCCGCGCGCGTGTCGTGCTGGCAGGTCTCGTCACGGCGTCGTGGTACGCGCCGTCCGAGACGTCCTCCGCGCCAACCCACCCCACGCCGCTCCGCGTCGCCCTCGTCGCCTCGTCCGACGCCTCCGATTCGTCCGTTGCTTCGACGCTCCCCGCCTCCGGCGGCGAAAATGCTGCTGCCGTCGAGCGACCCGCGAAACCGGCCGCTGCAGTCCAATCGCCCCCCGCCGCCCGCGGCACTGGTAAAAGAGTTGTTGCTCCGCGTGCGGTTCCGCGGCCGGTAGTAATGAGCGCGTATGACGGCGTGCTGGACCCCGACCTGTTCGAGACCGCCGGCGAGTTGGGGCGCGGCGGGTTTGGCACGGTGGTGGCGATGCGGCGAGTGGAGAGCGGCGAGGTGGTGGCGGTGAAGCGCGTGGCGCGCAAGCAGATGGTGGCGGCGGCGAACGAGGCGATGGTGGCAGCGTCGCTGAGCGAGTGCCCGGGCGTGCTGGGCGTGCGCGAGGTGCATCTGGCCGACCACCACGCGTACCTGCTCTCCGACGTCTGCTCTGGCGGCGACCTCCGCGCCCTCCTGCAGCGACGCGCAGCCGCCGCTGCCGCCGCAACCACGCCCGCGGAGAATGGCAATGGCAGGCGGTGGTGGGGGAAGGCGAGCGGCGAGGGCGGGCGGGGAGGGGGAATGGCGGAGGCGGAGGCGCTGGAAGTGGTGAAGCACGTGGGCGACGCCGTGGCGTTCTGCCATGAGCGAGGCGTGGTGCACTGCGACATCAAGCCCGACAACATCCTCTTCGCCTCGCCCCTCTCCAACATGGAACCCCCGCCTTGCCAACCCGCTGCTAGCCCCGCTGCGCCTGCGCGGCCCTCTCCTGCTGCCCGCCTCTGCACGCCCGTCTCCTCAGCACGCGCCTCCTCCCGACTGGCCGCGGGGGCAGTGCGGCTGGCGGACTTTGGGTTGGCGCAGGTGGTGGCGGAGGGGCAGCGCGTGTGCAGCACTCCCGCAGGCACGCCCGGGTACATGGCGCCTGAGGTGGAGGCCCTCTGCCGCCCTCGCTGCCCGCCCGCCCCTGGCGCCGCGAAGCAGGGAAGAGGAGCCGCGGCGAGAGCAGCAGGGGGAGAGGCAGAGGCAGGCGGGTATGGGCGGGCAGCGGACGTGTGGTCGCTGGGGGTGACGCTGCTCGAGATGATCGCAGGCGAGCGGCCGTACGCGGGGGAGGCGCCTCAGCAGGGCGAGTGGCGCGCGCGCATGGAGGGGGCAGCGTGGGAGGGCATGTCGGAGGAGTGCCGCGCGCTGGTGAGCGACATGCTGAGAGTGCGCGCGGAGGAGAGGCTCACCATGGCGCACGTGTGCCACCACCCCGCCATGATCCGCGCCTTCAGGGGCATTGGGACGCGCAGCAGGAAGGGATGGTGGTGAGCGCGATGCGGGCAGGAGGAGGAAGCAGGGAAGGGTGTGCTGAGCAGCAGGGGGAATGCAGGTGGCTTGGCGTGGCGGTGGGGGGATACAAGGGAGAGTGGGATGGTATGGTGGAGCACCACTTTTTGCACCCTGCCTGTCAAGGTGTTTGGGATGCTTGGTGGATTCGGTGGATGGAAGGGGATGGGTGGCATGCCCCCTCTCTGCGCTCTTTGAAGGATTGGTCCTGGTGTGTGTGTGGCTGCTGATACTGATGCTCGTTGCTCGGGTTTAGCTTGGTTTTAGTTCACATGTTTAGCTCAATATAATGCAATGTGATATGTTATGTTTAAAATGTGTGCACTGCACTATTAGCTCACATTTTAGTGTTTCCGTGACCCCTTAATGCAACACTCGTTTGCACTTATGCTCCGCACGTAACAACTGATCAGAGGAGGTTCTTATCAACTACTTGCTACTTTTTTCTGGGATGAATAATGCCAAGTTGGCATTGCCAACAACGAAAGGGGAAAAGCTACTTCAGAACATGGAATCGTGAGGTGGGAAACGGACGGCAGAATGGGCAAAAGCTAGCCCGGGCTTGTGAGTCCTGGAAGTTCTATTTCGAACGCTCTGGAACGCGAACAAACGCATTGAACCGCTTTGGCGTAGGGCTTGGGAAGGAATTCGTGGCACACGCTTGGAGTGTGTGAGCAGCGGGACACCTCGCACCTGGGCTACAATGTTTGTACCTTGGCACCTCGACCCACCCTGGCACGTCGTCAGTGTGGCAGTATAATGGTGAGGGCATCTCCGTCTGTACCGTTCTGTCACGTCAAACTACGCGACGGAGGCTAGTAGACGGACTGTAACGCATTACCTATCGTTACCGCGTTACGCGGACAGATATCCAGCGATTGAACCCTCTAGTTGCCGGAATCCGCTGCTCGTCGTACGGATCTAAACTCATCTCAAATGTTTCACTTTCTAACCGACTCTCTCGCCACGAGAGCTAACGTACACTCTGGACGACCGCCTGGCAGGATTGCGTTTCGCGGGTCATCGCGCCGCGGCTGCTCGTCGCTCTGCATTTCGTTCTCGCGTTCGCCCCGCTGACTACCCAGCGCGTCGCGGTAAGGGATCGCTACGGATCGGGAAGCGCCCCGACTCCTGCTCCGCAAGCCCGCGCAGCCTTAGTAATAGGGTTTGCGAAACATAGTGTGGAACCAGATCCTGGTCTGCCCATAGATCCGGCCCACACTAGATCTGGTCGAGTCGCTTCCCCCCTAACACTCTCTCCCACGCCTTGTCATTTGAATGCTCCCATTTTGTTCGTTCGCTTTAGTTTTCCGTGGATCGTGACTGATCTCTTCCCGCATTCACCCGCGGGTGACAGGAGCGGCAGCTACGACAACGGAGTCGCTTGCCGCGCTACCTAGACTTTAATTTCTCAGACGCTGACGGTTTATGCGGGTCGTGGGCGAGTGACTACGCCGCATTGCACCGCCTAATACTGGAACGCGCTTCAAACGCGTACGTGGCATGGCAACAGGCGGAGACGACAAGGGAGAAGGAAGAGGAGGTGGCTTCGGAAGCACCTCTAGTGGAGCCGTATGGGATACAGCAGCCGGTGAGGAGAGCGGGGCAAGGAGAGGGGGCGATGCAGAAGTCAGAAGACACGGACGACGGACAGGCGGATGCGGAGGAGGGGGTGGAGGAGGAGGGGGAGGGGGAGGGGGAGGGGGAGGGGGAGGGGGAGGGGGAGGGGGAGGGGGAGGGGGAGGGGGAGGGGGAGGGGGAGGGGGAGGGGGAGGGGGAGGAGGAGGGGGAGGGGGAGGAGGGGGATAAGAAGCTGAAGCAAGATCCGACACAGGAGCAGGATCAGCAGCCATCCCAAAAATGCATGGAAGCTAAACCTACTTTGAAGCTAATTGGTAGTTACTTTGTGGTTGGTGTCGAGAAATCAGCCCTGTAGTAACTGGCGAACATACTGAATCACGGGATGCGAGGCTTGGGGCCTCCCGAACGTAAACCTTCTGGAAAGTTACTTGCAGGCTGGAACGAATGTGTAATCGGCGAAAGGCCCGATCAGTTGGGAAGTCTCACGAGAAGGTGTAACTCAGCATTAGCGAACGGCTTTGTCGCCTTTCATTTGTTCGTGATTTCTATCAGCAGTAATTGCGATCGTTTTCATTGGTCGAAATCAATGTAGGTTGATGGCCGCGCCTAATCACAGCATTTCGCGCGTAATAGTGTCAGTCGCCTCTGGCGTTTGTTATTGGTGTTGGGTTTGTGAGAGAAAAGCTCATGTCAGTTGATGTCAAATCCATCGCGTTATCACAGCCGTCCTATACTCGACAGGTGTCCGAAATTTGAGAGTTTTCTCCACACATTTCGGAATGTACATGGTCACGTGGGCGTTCAGACGAACGCCACCTTGGCAAGAAAGTAGTGGTGAATAACTTACCAGTATTCGTAACAGTTACGTTGTTACTTGTCGCGTTACATTTGACAGTTAGTACACTTCCATATAGGCATATATCAAATGTAAATCATAGCCTACAAATAGAATATTTATTTTGTATTATGGTGAATTAGTTATTAGATATTATATAATACTGATAATTTATATTGGTAATTAGAAATTACTAAAAGCAAATTACAAATTAGGTCTAAAGACAACAATTAGCAGAAACTACAAACACGTGCACAAAAGCACGCACTCACACAAACTACAGCAAACTACCAAGAGTTGGGCCGACACACACACTTGCACTCTACGCGTTAGGCACTCATACACTGCAACCGTCTTAACATTAGGGGCCCTGCAATCCCGGCAGCCCCTCGCAACTGACCCTCTTCGTTGCCTCGTTAAACTTCCACGCTTTGTACTCAGCCTGACACCAAGGACCCGTCGCAGGACTCCGGTTCTGAACAGCAAAAGCAACGGCGTTGTGCACGTTGGAATGGTAGATCGCAAGAGCACGCTTGTTGTCAACTGAGCTGCGCGACATCTCTTCGTTCTTCAGGAGCTTGTACTCAACCTGCAGCACCAAGAAGGGGATCCTTAGAGCAACGACAGTAATGGCAAACATTCTCATGCATGCTTCAAAATTTTACATACCCCTAGCAGGAAGAAGGCGATCTGCTTGAAACGGAAGACTAAGACAGCATGCCCCGGCCTCTCAAACGAGTGGAAGATCGCAAGGGTGAAAAAGTCAGAGGCGAAAGGGATCCCCAGTCGATTATGATGCCACGTCAACAAGTCCCACGAAAGAGCACCTGTAGGGTGCGGAAGGTTGGAAGGGTGTGGGTGTTGAGGTCAGGATGGGAGAGAGTTGTGAAATCAATTGAATGTTCATTGCATCCCACGCCCACAGCAGTGCAGCGGGCTGCCTGCGGGGGGGATGGAGAGCACAGGCATGTGGGCAGTGGGTGGGGAATCAAGTGGTGGGAGGGGAGTTTTTGAATCATTGTGGCCTTGCATCCCACGCCCACAACAATGCAACAAGCTGCCTGCAGCATACGGTGAGCACAGGCAGTGAGCACAAAGGGGTGGGATCCAGTGGTGGGAGGGGGGTTTACTCCACCTTGCATCTCACGCCCACAGCAGTGCAACATGCTGCCTGCACGGAGATGGTGAGCACAGGCAGTGGGACTTGGGTGGGGATCAATTGGTGGGAGGGGAGTTTAACTAAGGGCACGCCGCCTTGCATCCCACGCCCACAGCAGTGCACCGGGCTGCCTGCAGGGTGATGGTGAGCACAGGCAGTGGGACTTGGGTGGGGATCAATTGGTGGGAGGGGAGTTTAACTAAAGGCACGCCGCCTTGCATCCCACGCCCACAGCAGTGCACCGGGCTGCCTGCATGGGGATGGTGGGCTGGGGAAAATGGTATTGGAAGATGCAAGGTAAGAGTTGACGGGAAAACCGAGATGCTGTGACAGCCTAACTGCCATCTGCTAGCCAGGGTTTGAGCGGTCTGTTGGGGAATGGTGTAGCCATCATCTTACTAGCAGGGTAGGAGGCACAGAACGCCGCAGCCGACAGCGTTCCGATCTCGACCCGGTTGCGGTCCGGACGTTTGATGCGAATGTCAAATCTTTCGTACAGCAAGACACAACCCGTGGTGAGGGTCTTGTTCCTCGCATCCTGAAGCTTCTTTCGAAGGTGCCTAGGCCGAGCCGTTTCGTTCTCCATGACAAGGCGCAGGTTAGCCACTCCCTCAGGATCTGTGATGTTTAGAGCCGTGCAGAGGGCGGTGATGTTGGTGTCCCGCGGCGTCCAATACTCCAGGTCCACATCCGAAGTTTCGAAGTAAAGGATCTCCACAGCTCGACTCGCGGCCCCCTGACACGGGAACATGGGGGGTGATAGGTGGTTAGAGGGATTACTTGTGGGATAACAACGCACTGCCCCCTGCTGTGAAATACACAGCAGGGCAGCAGAAATGGCGCATGTAATAACCTGCAAATGGGCGGTCTGACATGGGTATGGAGTCAATGGTGGGTCCCAATGGGTGAAAACAGCACTAGAAGTCCGTTGCCTCCGCCAAGGACCATACAAACGGTACGGCAGTAGGATGTAATGCACTGGGTGGGGAGTGGGACACCGTTGGGACATTACCTTGAACCCATTGTGGATATCTGGCATGCTGGCCAACGCGTCAGCGTACCGATGCGCCCACGTCCGCTGCATGCTCGACAGTTGCTGCAAGTCCAAAATAGTTCCCCGGCTGTGGGCCGTCCTGACCGCATTTATGATAGCCACCCGATTCGGTTCCACGAGTAGAGTTCTCGGGAACGACGCCTGGAGCGTGTTTCCTGCCACGCCATTAGGAGTAGGCGCGCTCGGACCAGCCGCTACAGCACCACTTCCAGCCGCTGCAGCACCACTTCCAGCCGCTGCAGCACCACTTCCAGCCGCTGCGGCACCACTTCCAGCCGCTGCAGCACCAGGACCAGCCGCTCCCATACCGTGAGCATCAGCATCACCTGAGGAGTTGCCAGGGTTGCTCGCTTCGTCCGGAGCGTCTTCGCTGGTATGGTTAGCAACACCGTGCGACAGGCGACGGTTCTCATTTTCAGCTTCCATAAGGCGGCGGCGCAGCTCACGTGCCTCAGCCTGAGCAGCATCGAACTCTTCCCGGGAGATAAGGTCCACTCCTTGTCCCGCTTCCTCATCGGCATCACTATACTCATCTAGCCCCTCGTAACCAGGCTCAGGTACCTGAGGTTCCATCTCCGGGAAAGCTTCAGGGTCTAGGGGCTGCATATAGTCAGTCGGGGCGCCATCATCCCCATACCCAGTAGAAGGGGTATGCAGACCCTCGGGTTGCATCGGTGCCTGCTGCTGTTGCTGCTGCTGCACATGCGGCGAAGATGGCACATCCGCGGGCAGCTGTTGCTGCTGCCCATACGGTGAGGCATGCAGATCCGTGGCGGGCTGCTGCTGCTGCTGCCCATACGGTGAGGCATGCAGATCCGTGGCGGGCTGCTGCTGCTGCTGCCCATACGGTGAGGCATGCAGATCCGTGGCGGGCTGCTGCTGCTGCTGCCCATACGGTGAGGCATGCAGATCCGTGGCGGGCTGCTGCTGCTGCTGCCCATACGGTGAGGCATGCAGATCCGTGGCGGGCTGCTGCTGCTGCTGCTGCCCATACGGTGAGGCATGCAGATCCGTGGCGGGCTGCTGCTGCTGCTGCCCATACGGTGAGGCATGCAGATCCGTGGCGGGCTGCTGCTGCTGCTGCCCATACGGTGAGGCATGCAGATCCGTGGCGGGCTGCTGCTGCTGCTGCCCATACGGTGAGGCATGCAGATCCGTGGCGGGCTGCTGCTGCTGCTGCCCATACGGTGAGGCATGCAGATCCGTGGCGGGCTGCTGCTGCTGCTGCCCATACGGTGAGGCATGCAGATCCGTGGCGAGCTGCTGCTGCTGCTGCCCATACGGTGAGGCATGCAGATCCGTGGCGGGCTGCTGCTGCTGCTGCCCATACGGTGAGGCATGCAGATCCGTGGCGGGCTGCTGCTGCTGCTGCCCATACGGTGAGGCATGCAGATCCGTGGCGGGCTGCTGCTGCTGCTCCTGCAGTCCATTAGTCGAGGTTTGCAGACCCGTGGTGGTCTGCAACTGCTGCTCCTGATGTCCAATGGTTGGGGTGAGGCGAGGAGAGTTGGGCAGCTGCTGCTGCTGATGTCCAATGGTTGGGGTGAGGCGAGGAGAGTTGGGCAGCTGCTGCAGCTGCAGTCCAGTGGTTGGCGTGGCACGAGGAGAGTTCCGCTGCTGCTGCTGCTGCTGCTGCTGCTGCTGCTGCTGCTGCTGCTGCTGCTGCTGCTGCCCATACGGTGAGGTAGGCAGACCAGTGGTGGTCTGCAGCTGCTGCTGCTGCTGCTGCTGTCCGGTGGTTGGGGTGGCACGAGAAGAGTTCCGCAGCTGCTGCTGCTGCTGCTGCTGCTGCTGCTGCCCATACGGTGAGGTAGGCAGACCAGTGGTGGTCTGCAGCTGCTGCTGCTGCTGCTGCTGTCCGGTGGTTGGGATGGCACGAGAAGAGTTCCGCAGCTGCTGCTGCTGCTGCTGCTGCTGCTGCTGCTGCTGCTGCTGCTGCCCATACGGTGAGGTAGGCAGACCAGTGGTGCTCTGCAGCTGCTGCTGCTGCTGCTGTCCAGTGGTTGGGGTGACGCGAGCAGAGTTCCGCTGCTGCTGCTGCTGCTGTCTAGATGTTGGCGTGGCGCGAGCAGAGTTGGGCCGCAGCTGATGTTGATTTGAGCCTCTGCGAACCGTCGTGCGGCGAGGACCCGTCCGGCGGCCCCCAGTCGTCCCAGTTGTACTCGCCGGGTTGTGAAGTCCTCCCAGGGACAGCTGGTTGAGTGAAAGGGTTCTCTCGCCTGCACATCATCAAGACACACACATTCTTAGTATACAGCACCGTAGGCTATTTACGTACAACAAACCAAACTCTCGCGGAAATCAGCTTACAAGTACTAAGTGAAACGTCTTGAATAGTGCTTACCATTGCTGGGTGTTGTCGCCACCGTTGCCTGCACCGATTCTTCACGGTCCCCTTCTCCTAGAGCACGAACTGAGGCCAACACGGATGAGTACCGGTTATTTGTGCCTCTACCAGGTCTATCAAACCGGCGCCCTTCGGCAGTATCCATGGTCGATCTAACACCACATCTAAAACGTTAAGAAACATACTATCAGTATGTTTCAACGTGCTTTTTATAGTCGCCAAGCCATCACCAGCAATGTATCTATCCGTCGCCAGGTTCACGGACGCACCGCTCTTGAGCTCGAGTGGTTCTCTGCGGTTCTCAAACCGCTCGTGCTGCAGCGTGCTAACCTTCGAATTTCGAAATTTGAAAACGGGTCGAAACAGCTCTCAGGCCCTCTACGGTTGTGTCTATGTTTTGAGATACGTGCGTGGGTAAATCGGCAACCGCGCGTGATACCAGCAGATGTGACGAAGGTTTCGTTGAAACGGAAGGTGTAAAAACGATGGTCCAGGTTCTTACCTGGTAGAGCCCTCGACATAATGTCGCCAGCGGGGAAATTGTTACAGCAGCCTGCTTCCGATTGGCGAGAAACAAGCGCACCGCAGGGTCGATTTGCAGTCCAGTTACAGAAACGGGCTGGTATCTCGTGTCGCAAGTTCATCCCCACCGAACAAGCATGACAGATACAATGGCGCGGAAGCAGGGGAGGGTCACGACGTGGGCCAGCTGGACAGGTTCTCAGTCAGCCTACCAGTAGCTGGGGGGAACGACGACGGCGTCGCTACCACGGGCAAGAGGGAGCGACGCTGTATGGTCAGGGCATGGTTGCGTGGCGCCGGTATCGCGGGGCATCGGCGCGGGGAGCCCACGCCAGCTGGCTCCCCCGCCCCGATAACGCTATGGGCTTGCTTAAGGGTGGGGGAGAGGTGCTCGCGTGTCTGGCAAAGCGTCGCGGGTTTCACTACCTATCCTAGTCAGCACAGGAAGAATCAGGTTTCTTCCAGCAGAGGGAGTTGGAGGTACTCGACGGGCTGCAACAATCAGACACACAAGTGTCGCACGGATTGAGGCAAGGTGCCTAGATTCCGTCATAACATAACAGTGGTTAAAATATTAACTTTAAGAGTTGAGTTTTAAAAACACTTGACACCATATCAAAGAGGTGTTTAGGGTACGAGTTCAATCACGATTTCAGGTAAAGGTATGCGCATACGCATCAGCACAAACAACAGGATTAAGATGTTGTTCGCCTAAAGTGCAAATTTGGTTACCTATTGCGCCACCAACATTGTCGTGTCTTGGCCCAGAAAACCAGTTATACTCAGATATGATGATATTCCCCTCGTTCAACAACTTACGGACAGACGACAGCATTGCGAATTTGGCTGATCAGATGGTTTAGGGAGATGGGCTAACATGAATCTAAGTCAACCATCTATGGAGTAATGTAATCTGTGAAACCCACGTCTACTGTTCTAACAACCTCGGTGTGACATACGGTAGCGATGATGCGTAAGGACCATGACAGAGCGCCATTGACAGAGCCCTACACCATCCTGTGAAATCCCCTCCGACGACGACGTTGTGGAGACAGTTATACAAGGAACCATGCCTGGTAGGCTGGGAACGTTTAAGTGTTGTCGAATGGCCTCCCGATGATTGTCGCACGCGTATTTGAGAGCATGGATCCCTTAAACATGCTCAAACAAGGCTACCATCCACGTATCGCGTCATTCGGGCAACGTGAGAGGCTTCGTCGCTGCCCAGAACAAAACTATACAGGGTACCGTACAATGACAGGCAGGGAGCGAACAAGTGTTGTCGAATGACGTCCCGGTGATTGTCGCGCACGTATTTGAGAGCATGGATCCCTTACATATGCTCTAACAAGGCTACCATCCACGTATCCTGTCATTCGGACAACGTGAGAGGCTTCGTCGCTGCGCAGAACAAAGCTATACAGGGTACCGTGCAAGGACAGGCTGGGAACGCACGAGTGTTGTCGAATGACGTCCCGGTGATTGTCGCACACGTATTTGAGCGCATGGATCCCTTACACATGAACTAACAGGGCAACCATCCTCGTATCGAGTCATTCGGACAACGTGTGAGGCTTCGTCGCTGCGCGGAACAAAGCTATACATGGAACCGTGCAAGGATAGGGTGGGAGACGTATGAGAGTTGTCGAATGACGTCTCGGCGATTGTCGCACACGTATTTTAGAGCATGGATCCCTTACACATGCCCTAACAAGGCTACCACCCACGTATCGTGTCATTCGGACAACGTGAGAGGCTTCGTCGCTGCGCAGAACAAAGCTATACAGAGAACCGTGCAAGGACAGACAGGGAGCGAACAAGTGATGTCGAATGACGTCCCGGTGATTGTCGCACACGTATTTGAGAGCATGGATCCCTTACACATGCCCTAACAAGGCCGCGGAGAGTCACTACACAACGGGAGTGGACTACGGAGGAAGGCACGGGGTTGTGCGGGTGATCGAAGCGTTGCGCTAGGTGTTCTCGCTACTTGCTGTGTTCACAAGGAAATGTGTCAAGAGTTTCAGTAAGAAATTGAAAGAACATTAGATTACAATGAGGCATGCAAGTCGATATAGCTAGAATGGCATTGCAACACCTAGCAAGCCCTCTGCAAGGCGAACTATGCCAGCGCAGCAGAAGAGCGGCTTGCCAACGCTGCAGCAGAGTAGTCTGCCAGCGCGGTATAGCAGCGGTCTGCCAGCGCGGTATAGCAGGTCTGCCAGCGCGGCAGAGGCAGGTGAACTTCTGCACAGGTGCGCACCTACCAAGTAGGTGCAGGTAGACGGACGCGCCGCCAGGCACATTGCGCAGGTGCCAGGTAGAACACGTGCCGACGGTTTCGTCAGCGATGCACCGTCGAGCACGTGATGCCGTTCCGCAGGTTGACTTCGCGAAAACCTCCTGGGCGACATTCGCCCACATGACGAATTTCGTAGTCGCGCGGCTTCCGTAGAGTAGTTCGACGAATGCTTCGTCGAGCAGTTTTCGCCTAGACGAGCCCTCTGCCAGCCTCGTCGAGGAGCTCCTATACCGGCCTTGAGGAGCTCCTATACCGCCTTCGTCGAGGAGCTCCTATACCGAACGGATCCCGTCGAACCGAGCTCCTCGACGGACTTGTCGACCAGCGACTTCTGCGAGCCCGTCGACCGCGTCCTCTGCGAGCCCGTCGACCGCGTCCTCTGCGAACGCGTCGAGGTCGAACTATACGGGCAGGTCGAGGTCGAACTCTGCGCGCAGTCTACGACAACTTCTGCGCGCTCCCCAACTGCGAAGCCCGCTTCGCCCAAGCGAGGGCTGGGCCAATTCCCGTCAACAAAGGCTACCACCCACGTATCGTGTCATTCGGACAACGTGAGAGGCTTTGTCGCTGCGCAGAACAAAGCTATACAGAGATCCGTGCAAGGACAGACAGGGAGCGAACGAGTGTTGTCGAATGACGTCCCGGTGATTGTTGCACAAGTATTTGGGAGCATGGATCCCTTACACATGATCTTACAAGGCTTCCATCCACGTATCGTGTCATTCGGACAACGTGAGAGGCTTCGTCGCTGCGCATAACAAAGCTATACAGGGTATCGTGCAAGGACAGGCTGGGAACGAACGAGTGTTGTGGAATGACAGCCCGGTGATTGTCGCGCACGTATTTGAGAGCATGGATCCCTTACACATGCTCTAAAAAGGCTACAATCCACGTATCCTGTCATTCGGACAACGTGAGAGGCTTCGTCGCTGCGCAGAACAAAGCTATACAGGGTACCGTGCAAGGACAGGCTGGGAACGCACGAGTGTTGTGGAATGACAGCCCGGTGATTGTCGTGCACGTATTTGAGAGCATGGCTCCCTTACACATGCTCTACCAAGGCTACCATCCACGTATCCTATCATTCGGACAACGTGAGAGGCTTCGTCGCTGCGCAGAACAAACCTATACAGAGAACCGTGCAAGGACAGACAGGGAGCGAACAAGTGATGTCGAATGACGTCCCGGTGATTGTCGCACACGTATTTGAGAGCATGGATCCCTTAAACATGCCCTAACAAGGCTACCACCCACGTATCGTGTCATTCGGACAACGTGAGAGGCTTTGTCGCTGCGCAGAACAATGCTATACAGAGATCCGTGCAAGGATAGACAGGGAGCGAACGAGTGTTGTCGAATGACGTCCCGGTGATTGTCGCACACGTATTTGGGAGCATGGATCCCTTACACATGATCTTACAAGGCTTCCATCCACGTATCGTGTCATTCAGACAACGTGAGAGGCTTCGTCGCTGCGCAGAACAAAGCTATACAGGGTACCGTGCAAGGACAGGCTGGGAACGACGAGTGTTGTGGAATGACAGCCCGGTGATTGTCGCGCACGTATTTGAGAGCATGGATCCCTTAAATATGCTCTTACAAGGCTACCATTCACGTATCGTGTCATTCGGACAACGTGAGAGGCTTCGTCGCTGCGCAGAACAAAGCTATACAGGGTACCGTACAAGGACAGGCTGGGAACGAACGAGTGTTGTGGAATGACAGCCCGGTGATTGTCGCGCACGTATTTGAGAGCATGGATCCCTTACACATGCTCTAACAAGGCTACCATCCACGTATCCTGTCATTCGGACAACGTGAGAGGCCTCGTCGCTGCGCAGAACAAAGCTATACAGGGTACCGTGCAAGGACATGCTCGGAACGCACGAGTGTTGTGGAATGACAGCCCGGTGATTGTCGTGCACGTATTTGAGAGCATGGATCCCTTACACATGCTCTACCAAGGCTAACATCCTCGTATCGAGTCGTTCTGACAACGTGAGAGGCTTCGTCGCTGCGCATAACAAAGCTATACAGGGTTTAGTGCAAGGACAGGCAAGGAGCGAACAAGTGTTGTCGAATGACGTCCCGGTGATCGTCGCACACGTATTTGAGAGCATGGATCCCTTGCACGTGATCTAACAAGGCTACCATCCTCGTATCGAGCCATTCTGACAACGTGTGAGGCTTCGTCGCTCCGAAAAACAAAGCTATACAGGGAACCGTGCAATGACAGGCAGGGAGCGAACAAGTGTTGTCGCATGACGTCCCGGTGATTGTCGCACACGTATTTGAGAGCATGGCTCCCTTAAACATGATCT